AGTTATGGCATTTCCTATCAATCAGTTATATGGCGGCAATAGGATATAGTCGGCCGATCCTTATGAAATTTGGTAGGTCGGATTGATTGGCCAAATATAAAACCCATAGAAAATCCCAACTTCCTAACTTTACAAACACCAAAGTTATGGCATTTCCGATCAATCAGTTATATAACAGCTATAGGATATAGTCGGCCGATCCTTATGAAATTTAGTAGGTCGGATTGATTGGCCAAATATAAATCCCATAGAAAATTCCAGCTTCCTAACTTAACAAACACCAAAGTTATGGCATTTCCGATCAATCAGTTATATGGCAGCTATAAGATATAGTCGGCCGATCCTTTTGGTAGGTCGGATTAATTGGCCAAATATAAAACCCATAGAAAATCCCAACTTCCTAACTTTACAAACACCAAAGTTATGGCATTTCCGATCAATCAGTTATATAACAGCTATAGGATATAGTCGGCCGATCCTTATGAAATTTAGTAGGTCGGATTGATTGGCCAAATATAAATCCCATAGAAAATTCCAGCTTCCTAACTTAACAAACACCAAAGTTATGGCATTTCCGATCAATCAGTTATATGGCAGCTATAGGATATAGTCGGCCGATTCTTATGAAATTTAGTACGTCGGATTGATTGGGCAAAAATAAAACCCATAGAAAATCCCAACTTCCTAACTTAACAAACACTAAAGTTATGGCATTTCCGATCAATCAGTTATATGGCAGCTATAAGATATAGTCGGCCGATCCTTATGAAATTTGGTAGGTCGGATTAATTGGCCAAATATAATACCCATTGAGAGTCCCAACTTCCTAACTTAACAAACAGCAGAGTTATGGCATTTCCGATCAATCAGTTATATGGCAGCTATAGGATATAGTCGGCCGATCCCGGCCGTTCCGACTTATATACTGCGTGCAAAGGAAAGAAGGGTGTGTGCAAAGTTTCAATTTGATATCTTTAAAACTGACAGACTAGTTCGCGTAGAAACAGACAGACGGACAGACAGACGGACAGACAGATAGACGGACAGACAGACGGACAGACAGACGGACAGACGGACATGGCTATATCAACTCAGGAGGTGATCCTGATCACGAATATATATACTTTATAGGGTCGGAGATGTCTCCTTCACTGCGTTGCACACTTTTGACCAAAATTATAATACCCTCTGCAAGGGTATAAAAAAGGTAAACAAGACAAAATAAACAAACCGGGACAAATATGACGGAAAAGTGGCATTGGATGTGGCTGCCACAGCGCACCCACCCTTCCTGTGGTGCCCCTAGCGTCGCGAGGGAGGCACCACCCATGTTCCAAGGCCGGAGCCACTGCCAGGCCAGACTACGACCGGTTCATCTCCCCGCTGGTAATTGCCTTAGGCCCACATCATCTTCATCTCCATTCTAAGTACATTTATTTATAAATATATACATAAGATTGCCAAATATAAACGTTAAGTATATCCTCTCCTCTTTATACCATTGCTTACAGGTCAGGGCAAAACCACTACCCGGCCTGGACTGCACCAGCTGCAAGGCCTTCTTAAAATCGGAAATTTGGCCGCGCGGAAAATTTTAAGCCAAGTGGCTGTCATTAATCAAACACCTCTTTTCTCTCCTAATTACCCTGCTGGAGCTCCAAGAGGACACAAAAGGGACAAGTAAATATAAATAAATAAATTGTATTGAGTTCTGCTAAGCCCGCTTTCGCAATTTCAGACCCCGAGTTAGCACAAGGCCAGACTCAAGCTCGCGGAATCACGAAGACGTACAGAAACGGACGAGGCGAGTACGCAAATTTACAAATACAAAAATTAATCTTAAAATCTAATCACAGGCGCGGCGAGACGTTCTGCTGCTCGGGTTCTACGTGCCCGGAACGGACTCACCGAGGTAATGTAGAATTCTTGTAGTTAAGGTCAACTGCCTGCGGCGGTGTTGGTTGGTGGTGATGGCTGTGGCTGCTGCCTGTGGCTGTTGCTGCTGCCTGCGGCTGTCGCTGCTGCCTGCGGCTGTCGCTGCTGCCGGTGGCTGTTGCTGCTGCCGGTGGCTGTCGCTGCTGCCGGTGGCTGTCGCTGCTGCCGGTGGCTGTCGCTGCTGCCGGTGGCTGTCGCTGCTGAGCACTACCACGAGGGCTGCTGCCCTTCCTCCGAGAAAATTGTGAAAAAACCGAAGAAAATCACAGAAAACTGCCGGGGCCCTATGTACTAGGGTCCCCGGTGGACCTAAAATAAATAAATTTCCACTTAATTTTCTAACTTTACTCGCACTAATCGCACTCTCACTTTTTCTTGGCCTATTCTAAGCAAAGAAATATCAAAATCCCGTCGACATGGCTTCGATGTCTGGCAGCAACTAAACCCTATCCCTGACCTACGCAATGTCATGCTCATCACGCCATGTTCCCTTTTCCTTTCCCAAAAGTGGGTCATTGGACGAATCCAAGGCCATCCCAGCCATACCCAGAGCGAACCGGGCTAGTTTAAATAGCTAGATAGCCAAGGGCATGAGCAGAAGGGGGAGCCACTTCAGTAGGCGTTGCCACCCACCAACTTTTATCGATAAGTCTTTGCCCTCGATTTCGATCAACTCCCGGCCGGTTCCAACTTGAAATGCAACACCACCCAAGGATTTAGAGAGACGCCATCGGATTTCAAGCCACTCGACGAAATCATTGGGAGCATTTGGATCCTTTCCTAGTGGAACCTGGACATTTACGCAGCTTGCAGTTCCATACGGTGCTCAACGCGGGGCCCACGCATGCCGGAAAGTACTGCCTTTGTTTTTCTTGCACTCCTTTACTTTGTGCTACCCTTTTTTTCAGATTACATCCGGATATCCTTGGCGTGGTAAACTCCGAGGTGGCGTCCTTGCAGGTCTTACAACTCGTAGGCATTGTTACCAACGGCTTTCACCACTCGAGCCTTAAGGAATTTCCTGGCGGACTTCGCGTTAAACGACTTTCCAAAGTCACTGAGGACGAAGTTACGGCGGTATACCTCCTGACCTGGCTTGGCCATGAAGTTCCGAGCCCGTTGGTCATATTGCTTGCGGCTTCGGTCATAGGCTGTCTCCAGATTCTTTCGGACCTTTTCCTGGATCACTCGGAGTTTGTCCGCCGTCTTCATGCCCGTCATCTCGTGGTCACACAAGGACTTTAGCTTCCTCGCTAACCTATAGTTGGCGCCGTTCAGGAACATATGATGTCCGAACACTGTAAAGAAAGGCGCTTCTCCTGTCGCCGAGTGGATCGCGTTTCGAAGGGCTACCTCAATCTCAGGAAGGTAGACGTCCCAGTCTCGATGGTCACCATCTAAAAAGCTCCGGATTGCGGCCAACACGCTTCGATTTACTCGTTCTGCTGCGTTGCTCTGTGGGGAGTATACCGGAGTCTCTAGGTGTGAGATACCGAAACTCTCCATCGCCTCCTGGAAGATCTTCGACGTGAACTGCCGACCATTGTCTGAGTGTAAATTTGTAAAATACCTCGTGGATGAGAAAATCGACGACGTTCGAGGATGTAGCTTCCCTCATGGCCTTCAGGAATACAAATTTGGAGAAATGGTCCACCACGATAAAAATCCAGGCATGACCCTTCTTTGACCTCGGATATTTTCCCAAGAAGTCGATATACAGCTTCTGGAATGCCTGTTCCGTCTGGACTCTTTCTCCAATACCGACCTGCATCCGGAAATTTGGCGCCTTGGACTCCTTGCAGACATCACATCCACGCACAAACTCGCGGACTTGGAGAACCATGCCTGGCCAGTAGAACTGCCGTCGGAGGATTTCCAGAGTCTTTCCCATTCCGCCGTGAGCTGCTGTTGGGTCCGTATGCGCACGCTCGATTAGGCTGTGGGTCAGACTCTGTGGGATCCACAGTTTCCACTCGGAACCTTCCACCTCATCGTCCAGATTTGCCGAGGAGACTCTCTTGAAGATGAGACCATCCTCGATCTTCAAGTCCGGTAAGTTTTCCAAGTTGTCTTCCACATCTTTCACTAACTCGAGATAACCTTCTCCAGCGAACTCGGTGGTTTCGAAACCCAACAAATCCGTCGGATTCACTACGAGCTCCTCCACACACCGTGAAAGGGTGTCTGCCACGACGTTCTCGCTTCCTTTTCGGTGCTCTATGTTGAAGTGGTACCCTTGAAGCTGCACCACCACCTCGCCAAACGTCCCGACAGATCCTTCATGGACATGAGCCACTTCAAGCTGGCATGATCTGTGATGCAGGTGAATGGCATCCCTTCGACATATGGCCGGAACTTTCGAATGGCCATAAGCGCAGCGAGACTCTCTTTCTCGGTCACGGTGTAATTTACCTGATGTTTATTCATCTTGGCTGAGAAAAAGGCAATTGGCTGCTCTTGTCTCGTCTCGCTGGAAAAGCACTGCTCCGACTCCGACGTGTGACGCATCGCACTGGATAAAGAAGCGTCTCTTGAAGTCCGCATGCACCAAGACTGGTGCAGTTGTTAACGCCATCTTCAAAGCTTCTACCGCAAGCTGAGCCTCTGGACTCAATGAAAACTTTGAGTTTCCAGTTTTCTTTAGCGATTCAGTGAGCGGGACGGCCAACGTCGCTAAGTTCTTTATGAACCGGCGGTACCATCCAGCAGTCCCAAGAAACGCTCTCACCTCCTTCATCGTCCTAGGCTCTGGCATCCTCCTGATCGCTGCCACTCGTCCTGGATCCATTCGCAGACGACCTCCACCAACGATAAAGCCCAGGTAGGTCAATGATTTGAAGCAAAACTTTGACTTACTCATACCTATCGTTAACCCCGCTGCTTTCAGGCATTCTGCGACTCTCCGAAGGTACCTGAAATGGGTCCGGATATCTGGAGCCAGTATCAGCAGATCATCTAGGTAAACAAATACGTTGGAACGGATCTCAGCTGGGATCACTCGGTCCATGAGTCTCACCAACCACTGCGCCGCGTTGCAAAGTCCGAGGGGCATCACCCGGAACTGGTAGAGAGGCCGACCAGGAACCGTAAAGGCCGTCAGTTCCTTGCTTTTCGGGTCCAACTCGATCTGTCAGAATGCGAACTTCAAATCCACGCTGGAAATGTAAAATGTTTGGTCGATTCTGGACAGGATTCCGTCGATACTCGGCAGCGGGTAAGCGTCTTTAATGGTCAAATCGTTCAATTTGCGCGCGTCTTAGCAGAACCGATCTATCCCAGGCCTCGACACTACCGTCGTCCGGTTGCTCCACGGGCTCATGCTCTCCTCGATGACTCCGAGCGCTAGCATCTTGTCCACCTCATCCTCGACAACCTTCTGCTTCGCTGGAGACATGGGATATGGACGATCCTTGAAGACCTTGGCTCCCTCGATCAGCTCGATCGTGTGCTTCTCCAAATTAGTCGTACCCAGACCATCCTTCTCAAATGTGAGAAACACCTCCTGGATCTCAGCGAGCTGTCGTGCGTCGGCTCCGGATAAGGTCCAGGATTCGGGATCCGGCTTTTCCTCGTCGTCATCTTCCTGTTCAGCGTAGTGCTCCATATCCCTGGCGTGGATTTCGTTTGCCTTCTTCACGCTTTCCGGGTCGCTGTGGCCTATCACCGCCGGAGCCAAGCCAAACGCCTGCCAGAAGTCCACTCCGAAATAGGCTTCCTGCTCCAGGTAAGGACATACATAAAACAGGATCCGCTTTATCTGTCCTCTGTACTCCACAGGTAGCTCGACGCGTCCTATAATCGAGCGGTCTTCTCCAGACGCCGTGCGGACCACGGATAGGTACTTCTGGATTGGCACATCCAACGCTTCGACCATCTCCCTACAACCTTTACCCAGCAGGCTGACACTCGCTCCAGTGTCCAATAATCCAGTCAGCTGTTGGGTCAGGATCCGGACTTCAGCGAATGGTCGAGGGTCTCCCGTTCCACTGCGCTTCACAGCGGCAACCACTTCTCGCCTCCTCGCTCGTCTCTTCCGGAATCGATCCCTGGCCTTCTGGACTTTCCGAGACACCAATCTCATCCCGCCCAATTGATGGTTGGAGAAGATCCGATTCCTGGCCTCCAAGTACCGTCGCATCTTTTCTTCATAAGGTAAGTATTTTAATATGTTCTTATTACTACTCGTACATACTAAACCTTCTTTTAGTCCTAGAACATTTACTTCTTCGCGGGACTCTTGTCTGGACGCATCCTTCCCGCCCTCGGATCGCCCAGCCGACCGTTTTCCGCGCAATCCGGACATTTCGGAGACACGGTGTCTGGCCTTCCGCATCGGTAGCAGAACAGGCGCCGTTCTGTTGCCGCGCAGTCCCGGAACCCGTGGTCTACGGCTCTGCAATTCCAGCAGCCCGCTCGGAACGGATTTCGGGCCTTCGCTTGTAACGCCTCCACTTGCCACTGAGAATCCTCTGCAGTATCTGGACCAGCTGCCTCGCTAACCCTGGCCTTCTCCGCCGGAGGATAACGCATCGGGTGCGCATAGGCCGCGCGTCCTCGTCGTCCAAAATTACGCTCCACCTCGCAGCACTCTTCCCTCAACTCGTCCACAGTCATCACATCCATTGCGTAAACGAATCTTGCGATACCCTCTCTCAAGCCCTTTTAAATTATTTTTACCATCTGTCGCTCTAACAGTGTTTTTTTTAGGCGAGAAGCTAGCTGCTGCATCGCATGGACATAATCCTCCACGGCTTCTCCCGGCTGCTGCTCCCTCTGCAGAAGCTGATGCATCCGGTCGTGCTCCGTCTGGTGGCCTCGGAACCTGTCCATCAGCACGGCGCGCAGCTGTGGCCATCTCTCCACCCTGCAGTGACGCACGTGGACCCAATACCACTCGCGTGCCCATCCTGTTAGCAGCACATGGAAATGGCGGAGCACTTCCTCCCAAGGGCACTGGTACTGCCGCTGCAGGAACTCGAGCCGAAACAGGAAATTTTCCACCGAGTTTCGCTCGTCCTCGCCATCAAAAGTAACGCCCCACCGCTCGATGCGAACCTGTTGGCTGCCGCCACCTAGCCCTGTATTGGCATATAAACGCGGCTCCTCGCGGAAATCGGAAGCCCTGCGGGCCTCGAAGTGCCAATTTCGAGGCTCGTTGCGTCGCCCTCGTTCGCCTTCCAGAGGATATCCTGGACTGCTGCTCTCCACCGGAAACGACTCCAAGGGCCTTCTAGGCGGCTTTGGTGGAACCTCTGGTGGCGGTGGACGGGAGCCAATCGTACTTGCTGATGGTGCCGTCTTTGGAATTGCCCCTTTCTGGACCAGACTTGGAGCCTGTGGTGCCGCCGTGTCCGTCCAACCCGGATGTTGCTGCTGATCGGTATGGTTATCCTGTGGAAGCTGCGGCCGCTGAGCGGCAGGCCTTAACACCTCGTTCATCAGCTTCATCATTTACAGGAAGCCACCTCTGATTTAATCCCTTAAGGACTGGCTGACGCCGGACTCCTGAGCCTTTCGATGGGTCTCTGCAGCCTGGGCCAATGCCACGTTTACGGCCGATTTCGCCGCGTTGTCCAGAAACGCCTCCGAGCTCACTTGCTCCAGAACTTGATGTTGCGTGGGATCTGTTCCCATCTGAAGTTCCCAGCGCAGCTCCTGATGAAGACGACCCAACTGAGTCCTTGGCAGTCCCATCGATATCCGTGGCTGTTCGGCCCCGGCAACCTCATCTAAATCGGTGGACCACAATTTCTCCTCTTCCTCGGCCGGAAGAACCTTCGATCGGAGATCGTAATTAGAAGGCATCGTATCGCACAACCAACAAAACAAAAAATATACCTATCTCCCTCAGAATTCCTCGATCCTACCCTAAACAAATCACCACAAGAAATAAGTACTTAAGAAGAATAATAAATATTAAAATAAGGACTAGCAAATAATAAATAAACAGATAAATATATAAACATGTAATAACGGATAATAATTACAGAAACTAAATTTTTAAATAAATAAATAAATATTTGGAAAAGTAAATAAATAATGTACGAAAATAAATAGAATAAATAAATAGAGTAAATAAATAAATAAATAATATATCTATGATTCTTCCGTTTTGATTTGATTCCTTTGAGATTTTATTTATTTTTTTTTTTTTTTTTGACCTGGGGAGATGGAACCGGTCACCAGCCGGTGGACTCCGTGCCGGAAACTTTTCTGCGCTTAAATTTTTTTCTATTTTCCGCCATATGCCCTTCCGCACGCCGCTCGTCAACTGGACTGTTAAGGACATCGGCTGCTCGTTGAATCCTTTTTGATTTGTTTTCGCGCGTATGTTTTGATTCTCAGGTCGTGGTGGTCGTGCAGCGCGTGTCCATCACGGGTCACGATCACACATTTAAGTTCAAAACCGAGATGAAAAATCAAACACACCCACGAAACCAAAACAAAGGATCAACTTCTACTCTCACAACAAAAATATCACCAAAACAAATTACTTTACATCAAATAAATAACTACATAACTAAACCCTACCTAATTTATCACAGTTTTTTATCACAGACTAGCAAGGTAGCCCGCAGCTTCGCCTGCGGAAATTAAGATTAGCAATTTCCTAACTATATCGCTTAAAACTATACTTTTGATTAACTTTTTTATTTGCTACTTTATTTAAACTAAAACCATTCCACATTTCCACACCACCATAGAGGTAGAGGTTTTGGCGCGTTTTTTATTCCACAGTGCATTTTAATTAGAAATGTTTAACATTTTTGCAAGACTTCTCTATAAACGATATTTTTTGATTTTCCTTCTGGCGCTAAAATAATTAAAGACTCAGAGGAGCTAACTCTTGAACAGGCCACATAAAACTGACCATGAGAGAAGCAATCGTCCCTTAAATCTAGTCCAGCTAGTTTTAAGGTCTGACCTTGCGATTTATTTATCGTTATTGCAAAGCAAACTTTTACAGGGAACTGAAGTCTTTTAAACTGAAACGGTAGATTTGATGGTATTAGGGGTATTCGTGGTATAAAAACAATTTCTCCTTTGGCACAGCCAGTAAAAACCACAGCTTCGATTAAATTGTTATGAAGAGCTTTTACTTGCAATCTTGTACCGTTACATAGTTTTGGAGGTCTTAAATTTCTCAACAGCATAATTGGTGCACCAATCTTAAGCTTTAGAATGTGTACGGGAAGTCCAGGTGGATTTTGTTGGTTGAGAAATTCAACCGGAAAATGAACTGCTTCATCAACTTCAGTGACTGAATCAATAGACTTATACGTAACTTCAATACCATCAAATGATTTTAACAGTATGTTATTTATTACCACAGCTCTATCATTTCTAGCAGTTAATATTGCTCTCTCCGAAAACCAATCTAATGATTTGGTTGAGATTTTTGAAATTTCCGGAAATATATTTGATGTGAGCTCCTCAAGGGAAGTTACAACAGTTCCTAAACCTGAAGGAATAATTATTTTTCCTTCGACAGTTGGAAAAAGACCGTCTCCAATTCTCAATAATGTATGTGCAAAAATTCCAGCAGTTGTATCGCCTTTTAAATGCACACGCATGTTTTTTGTTAGGCACAATTTTTGAATAGTAGGCCAAAGAAATGATGATTTTAAGCAGGCTTGTATTTCATCTGCCCTTGTTCCTCGAGGAACTACAGGAAGCGTTTGACGAAAATCTCCAGATAATAAAACCGTCATACCTCCCATTAGAAAATCATTACCACGAATATCTTTCAACATTCTATCCAACGCTTCAAAAGCACTCTTATGAGCCATTGTGCATTCATCCCAAACAATAAGTCTACATTCTTGAAAAACCAATGCCATATTACACCGTTTAGATATTGAGCAACATGGTGTTTCTACATTTATTAAATCCAATGGGAGTTTAAACACAGAGTGGGCTGTGCGTCCCCCATTTAACAGCGTAGCAGCTATACCTGAAGAAGCAACAGCCAATGCTACATTATTATTATGTCGTAATTTTGCTAACAACAAATTCAATAAAAATGTCTTGCCACCGGGGGCATCCAAAAAAAATATTTCACCGTTTTCATTTTGAACACTTTGTAATATTTTTTGAAATGCCATTATTTGCTCATCGTTAAGGGAATTTTCGCCTTTACTTAATTCGAATTCATTAATATTGTAATTTATTTCGTTTAAATATTCCCTATTTTGAAGTGGTCTACTAACTCTAATCGGTTCGGGCAAACCATAGTCTAATCGACACGTACCTCCAATGGACAGTGTTATATCTTCGATTAAAATAAGACATTTATTAAACACTCTATCCAGTAGATCTTGATTGACTTCTGCCACTATTAGAGAAAACTCGTACAAAATGTCTTCTGAAAAGCTTTCTTTATACATTTCCCAAAGATGTGCGGCATCAGCCATTTGACAATTTACTAACATCACCGCAAATAAATCACGTAATTGAATTGGCGATTTACATAAAGCTGCTTCCTTTAGGGTATATTCCCAGTGTGTGTCATCTTCTAGTAAGCCTAAAGCCTTACATGCCAATTGAAATGTAGCATACGTAATGTTATTAACTGTTTTAAGAAATAAGAATGAGGTTGGTCCCCGCACTTCATGAAGAAGTAGTCTTAGGTAATAGCATTCCTAAAGAGTTGGTGTTGTTGTACGATGTGGTTTCCTTGCAATTTAAGGGTCGTGTTTTCAAACCGAGTTCTTACCAATCTTGGATTTCACTTTCCAAAAAAAAAAAATGTCAACATCATTTTTGGCAAGAACTGAAGTGGGTTTGAACCCACGACCTACAGATCACATTACATTTATATACAACCTCTAACACCTGAGCTATATTGCCACTTAAATGCATTACAGCAAAAGATCATTTAATGAGAAGTACAAATGTATGCAAAAGGAGAAGATTAAATGGTTGGTTTTATTGTTGTTCACTTGCAATTTTGCTAAAGATGAGAAAAAAAAAAGAAAAAAAAAAAAACTTAAATTTTTAAATTTTATTTTTGTCAAAAAATTAACAATTTTGATTAAATTGAAGGTCTACGACCTGGCTGAAGGCACAGGTTCTTAAATCTCCTTTCCATAAG